ATTATTATTATTATTATTATTATTATATTGTTCAATGCCACGGGATCGACGATGACGACGACGACGGGTGTAGTGCCCACGACAAGTAGGTAGAGAGAAAAATAAAATTACACACAATAGAACGCACAAAAGGCATGTTCTGCGTGGCTTACGGTACCGGTTCTTTTCCTCCCTTACTACATCACTCCCCCGCAGCACGTTTTCATCCTTGACTAAATGTCTTCGACAACGGTTTTCGGGGTATTTCTCGTGAAAAGGATTCCGGTCGAGCAATAATCGTTTTAATACCTGCTGTAATCGCGGTGCTGAGGAACGGGGGTGGGGGATGGGCCGGACCACTAAGGGAATCGTTGGTGTGTGCACGTCTTATTATTATTTATTCGTACGGCCTATTCGTCGCACTGAGGGCTGCACGACGTGTACGCGTACCGCGTGCACGGTCGTGTACACACGCGTACCTGAACTCGGACACAATGTGTGCACATTAACCGAACACGGGTACTCGGGGGCCCAACAACGTCTACGCGACGAATGCGCGACCCGGTACATAGTCGGTCCGACGATTACACGGCTAATGATGCGCTCGTCCGATGCGAATACGCCTACGAACGCGTCTCATTGTAACGCAATACGTTTTACGTGCACGCGGTACGAAAATATTTAAGTGTTCCGTGTAAATAATCCGTACATAAGCGTGTACGATTTGTGGGCAACGTGTCGAAGACGACGCAATAAGTTAACTCGTATTTTTCGGTCGATCGAATGGATAGCGGGCCCGTGACGAACGATACGAACGGCCGTTGTCGATCATTTGTCCGTGATTACGATGATAATATCGTGCAAAACGTTCGCGTGTAGTATGTGTGTCCGTAAGATTTGTTCCGATATGGTTGTTGACGACTGGAGGGTAGTAAATGCCATACGCTTCGTTACGATTAGCGATCGGCAAGAGCGCGCGTTTTATATATTTTATCTTCCTTCCCGTCTATCGCTTAATATTTTGATAGAGATTTTCGCTAAAAAAACAGCCCTATTAAAAATACTAAAAAAAAAAAGAAAAAAAAAAGACTTCAGGTTTTGGTCGTCGATAAGCGCACGAAACTGGTTCCTAATAAATCTGTCAAACCCCATAATAGCATTTAGCTCGTGTTTCAGTTCTTATTTGGAACCCGTTTATTTATTTATTATTTCTCTATATATGTGTACATGTGGATGTGTTTTTTCACGGAAGGACAATACACAAAGACCTATTAGCAAGCTTATTATTATTATTATTATTATTATTGTCTTTGTTAGTTTTTTTTTTCCTTTTCGGACGACAGGACACGATGGAATGCACGAGCGGCGCAGATTCATCGGACGGAAAGACTTTATAAACCGAGTCCTGAACACGACCGTCTCTCCACACGCTACCACCATTGGCATTAAATCCAGTGGCATCGATTCGACGCATCAGATAATACGCGCGTATATAAATATACCCACTGGAACAGGAACGGTCGCGGTTATTATTTTACAATAATATTGTTGCGCGTACCCGGCTTAATGATACTGTGACTGACGACGCCGGGAGGACGTTTCGGAATTTTTTCCTAATTGTGCACCATGTTTTGTTGGTCTATTACAAACGTCGACATCTGCAGAGTGCAATAACGATGGGGACACGGTTGTTTTCTGGCGCGAAGACGCCAGAGACACCCCCGAAACACCCTGACGGATGGTTTTCGACGACGATGACTAAGAGTCTGCCACGACCACGATCATTATCGGGTTTCGCGCGTTCCGACACCCGACAACGGCTCCGCTGCGGGTTATTAATTCGTCAGAGATTTCTCACCACCGCCGCCGCCGACAAGGGCGCGCATTACGTGTCGAAATGTATACCGAGTGGGCGTGGTCGGACAACAATAAATAATATTTCATCAATCCGTATGATGTATGTATTCGCCCGACGGAGAGGGCCCAATTAAACGCACATGTGTGTTTACAGATGCTGTTGGCCAATTACGGACGGCTAGAGGAGAAAGACGGAAAGCCGCCACAGGTAAATTAGGGTATTATTATTACGATGACGAAGACAAGTGCACGCGTGTGTTATCAGAAATGAAAATTGGACGGACCGAAAAAATTCCGACGGAAGCGCGGGGCATCGTTATGGTACGTATATTACCTTGGAGCGAAACGAAAATTATAATATACAACAGTTGTGTTAATAAGCCCCTGCGCTGGTAATATAATAATAATAGTGATATACCAAGACATTTTTCTTATTCTTCACATTCGTCGTTGTCGTCGTCGAGTTGTCATCGTCGTTTTTTCGATAATATGTTTTATAAACCTTTTTTTTTTTTCCTTTTTTTTTTTATATTTTTTGTGTGTTGGTATTTTCGACAACGCGGTCCGCAAAACGGCGTATATGACGCGCATTGGTTTCATTATAAACGAGCCAATTAGCCGAATCCGGTTCTCTCTTCTTGTCCGCTCCGTCCGTCCGTCTGCGCAGACTCCAGTCCCTGAGTGAGTGTGTGTGAGATGGAAACTTGTTTTTTTTTTCCGCGCACATGCATATATATATCGTTTTTATGACTTTATTTATTTCGAAATTGGCCTCCGGTGCGGATTAGCCGTTTGTGTTTAGGGCCGTGATTTAACGCGTTTCTCGAGCCGGCTCGATTGTGAGGCGTGCACGCATTTATAATGCCGACGCTACAATACCGGCGGCGGCGGAGGAGAAATAAGTAATTATGTTTTTCGAAGTTTTCGGCTGGATAAAACGGCATAGTTAAAACAAACTGGTTTTTTATCCGTCCTTCTCTGTTTTTCTCTCTCTCCTTCTCACACACGTATACACACACGCGCGCGCGCGCGCGCGCATACACATTCACTCCCTCACTCTCGGTCGGAGTAGTATAACATTATATAGTTCCAACGACCGCTTATTTATTTATTTTTTTTTCGGGGAGACCATATCATATTGACGGTATAATATTCGGTCGGACCGCCTATTTTCCGCTCTACCAACAGCAGTGAGGACAGCCGCCAAACGCACCGCAGTGACGTGCCGATGGTGGAAACTTCGATTAATCGTTTGAGACACAAAACTAAATCGCATAAATAAAAAACTAACCCGGCCACCGCATTTCGGAAACCTTGGTGCACTTTGCGATCTCTTCCGAGGTCACCGGGCGCGCACATGGTAACATAACGCCCGTTTATATGTATTGTAAATATTGAATTTACTGCATGTGAAGTTGTAGGATGTGCGCATCCGTAATATGCTGAACGCGTACACCGTATAATACAGTACAGTTGATATACGCGAGTAATGAGCACTGGGCTACGAATTCGAATGCGTTACGGATTTTGTCACCCAGTGGAGTGTATTTCGTGATTCTTGTGAATACCGATCGGACGGGTAAACTTTCGTTTCTAAATGGTGAAAACGCTTAACTACTAAAAAAGCTTCACGGAACACACTATACACAATAGTTCAGTATGTTTACCTTGATATAATTTTATTATAAGATCGTCAAACAACGGTACAAGTTTATCAAGTTTATCGATTAAACGCAATTGATTCGACAGATCTTACCAGTAGTGTTTGGTGGACGTTTTTACGTTTTTAGCGGTGCCATCTATGAACCCCGGTCGTACGAACACCGAAGACGGACCAGTAGTAGTGCGCGCGTACAATTATACGTATATATGTATAACATCCTCATTACATTCAATTGGGTATCCATTTAGTAATTGAAATTAATAAAAACTTAGCGGTGGCTACGGCGGCGGTGGCCCCGTGATTTTTGTCTTTTGTCCGCCGTTATACACAACAGCAATTAAATACAATTGGCGAAAACCAGTGGCGCGCACGATGCCACGTACCAGCTTGCACGTATGCATAACACAGTCGCACTGTGAAGTCTTTGTATATCGTATGGACTTCGGACGGTCATACAGACGAAATTATATTGATTTGACGCGCGCCTCAGGGACACGCGCAAGGGTTAACGGCCTCTTGGGAACTATTATTGCAGCGGCAGGACCAATACTTATGTATATGTAACGTTATAAAATAAATACTTCAACTGCAACAAAAGTACGTTTATATGTACGGACCGGAGTTATTATGTGATTTTTAAATGAAGTGTCGACTTTTATTGCTACAGAACTGGTAGACAGAAGTACAGTAGCTGGATTCCATCATTATCCCCCATTAAAAAAAAAAAAAAAAAAAAAAAAATGAGACGTACGCCACGGCAAATTAATATAATATACCAGTCTTGTGCACATCAAAGGAATTGGATATCGTGATTTACCGTCTCCCGGTTCAATCTATCGCTGCAGTGCACGAGCATAATACATGTATCAGACGTATTATTTAGTACCGACGAATTTAACGGAATCGAAATAACCGTGAAGTCTACTTAAGTAATCTCAATTGAAATCGACTTATCCGCATCCTTCATGTTTTTACCATTCCGCTAAATCCCATCAATAGTTGATTGAAAAACGTGTTCACATATTTTTTGTTTAGTACTCAAAGCAAAAAAGTATCGATATCAACGCTTATTTTATAGTAATTTTAATTCCAATCGATTATTCGACTTCACGACTGATATGGTTTTAAAAGTCCTATCGAGTCACTATAGATTGATTGATATATCAGACGAGATAACATTATGTCTTTACAAATGATAGACACGCATGCGTAGACAACAATCGCCGCCTCCAATACATTGTAATGTAATTATTATACTATGTCGTGCGCCTACAGAGATGTTTATGTACCATACACCGGTCATCCATGGTTATTGTTAGTCGCAAAAATACAACAATGGTCGCGAAAAACTCATGGCGATAGAGATTTTCGCAGGAAGGTCGACGAGACGCGTTGTATAAAATACACGCCATTGAAACGATAACAGAGGAGAGGACACGACAATGGACCTTTCTGTGCGCAACAAAAAAATAAATACATATTATATTGTAC